AGCCTAGAGATGGTGCCCGGCCTTAACCTGCGCCTCTGCATCTCTCTCTCTCTCCCCCCTCTATCGTATCGCTTCTCGTGCTTTGTTTTGTTTCTCTCTCTCTCCCCCCCTCCCCCCTCTCTTTTCGTTTTGTTGCGGAATTTAAAGAGAGAGAAGAGTTTCGCTCGAGTGTGAAAGTGACATGTATTCGCTAACCGCCAGAAGCCGCTCAAGTTTTTTTTTGGAGGGTACTATTTTGTTCCCGAAATGCCCCTCTAATGATGGTCGGGATCTAACAACGGCTAGCGGGAAACGAACCAAATAATTAACAAATAGTTTGATAATTGTTCGAATAACTATTCGGTCATATTCGATTCAGTAGTTCATTTATCACTAAATAAATATTTTTTAGTATTCGAGTTTACTAACGAATAGAATTTAACCAGTTGTATATTCAATTCGTTTGTCTATTAAATATTCTTTTAAAATTTGATCACAGCTTATTATTTGTATTATTGCACAAATAATGTCATATTTTTATCTCATTTATCATTTCTACTTAAGTTTTATATACTGATTTTAATACTTAAATTAAATAATCTTAAATTTATTTTCTAATTAAAATTTTGATTTAAATATATATACATCATATATTATAAATGAATACTTTTTATTTAAGAATTTTAATATTATTTAAAAATTAAATTGTTTAGCGGAATAAATATACTTTGATATTCGATAAGTATTCGAATTTTAATATTATTTAAAAATTAAATTGTTTAGCGGAATAAATATACTTTGATATTCGATAAGTATTCGTGAATATTCATGAATATTAAATTGTTTAGCGGAATAAATATACTTTGATATTCGATAAGTATTCGTGAATATTCATGAATATTTATTAAATACCAAGTATTCGAGTTCAAATTCGAAAAACTAGATATATGAATATTAGAGTCCGCATTCGAATTTGATATTTTTAAACAAATAAAAAATATGAACACTTTAGTATTCGATTCAATTTGATCGATTACCACCCAAAACACGGCTAAAGTTTTTAAGAAATTGTTCCCGTAACGCCCCTACGCAAAGTTTTGGCAGTGGAGATGCGTATTTAAGGCTTGGGATTACCGTTTAGGATTTGGGTGTGGTCACCGCCCGGTGTCTCAATAATATAATTCTACTATTGCATTGTCTTTTTTTTCTCAAATTATTTTTTTTGGAATGTGTTTAAAGTGTTAATGAGTATTACATTTGGTACCATCTTTAAGTTGAGGTTTTTTTTTTTTCAATATCAGTCCCGGATGTCGTTATTATTTTGCTGTTAGTCTCTCAAATTTTCATATGTATAAGTCCCTCAAAATGCATAATTATGTTATACCCTCACTCCTAATACTCAAACCTACAAACTCTTTAAACTCGGTATGTTAACAATGAACCCATCTTCACTTAATTAGAGTTAAGGATTTTGAATAGAAAACCTAATAGAAGAGAGATTAATATCAAAAATAGGAAGATTTAAGGGAGTAATATCAAAATATTAATTTTTAAGGGACTGGTATGGGAAAATCCTTAATTTGATAAATCTCTTCATGATAAAAGCGGAGCAAATAATTTCATTGAGGATTTTAAAAAAAAAAGGAATATTCTATGTTGGAAGTATTGAATAAGCAAATCCCTTTGGCACTCCCAGCACAGTCTTCTTATCATTTGAATCATCTCCATTAAAACAAATTTTAAGCTTGGTATTTACTCCATCAGTAATTTTGTAATTAAGTAAGCAAACTGCATGCGTTGGGAGATCACCACACATTCTCTGGTCCTGTAAATCTTAGAATCGCCTAAGGGCTTGTTTGGATTGAGGGGAATAAGGGTGAAGGAAAGTTAGGGGAACCATTCACTTTATTTGGGAACATTTAGGAGGTGAAGTTATTCACCCTAGTTCCCCTTATTCACCCCCTAATAGTATAAAATTTGTTAGGGCATTTCCAACAGCTTCTCTAAATTTTTCTCCAAAATGGGAAAGTAAAAGTCATATTCTCCAAATTATTTTTACACCAACTCCAACAGCTTCCTCATTTTGAAGAATCTCTTTTTTCCTCTAAAAATTTGAAGAATGCTACAGATTTGGGGAAGCTTCCCCATTTTTTCTCCTCCATCCCTATTTTGGGGGAATGATCACCTCCATTCACCTTGGTTCACCCCCTAATAGTATAAAAATTGTTACCCCCCAAATTGGGGTGTAACAAAGGGGAAGAGAATTCCCTTCCCTTCCCTTCCCTTCACTCAGTTTCCCTTAACTTCCCTTCACCCCCTACGAATCCAAACATGCCCTAGTTTTCCTTAACTTTCCTTAACCCCATTGAAATCCAAACACACCATAAGTTTTAAATTCTCATTTATTACGAGAAAAGCAAATATCATCCTATAACTAGTTCAGTACTACGTAACCATTTACGTATATCAGGGAGATAACTACATTTTTTTTTTGAGGGGTGGGGGTCGCAGGGAAATTTATCTACAGCATAAAGATATGCTCAGTGCTCACATAAATTTTCAAAATTGCAGAACTGATCCACTGTGGTGGGTTAACACTTTAATACATGATTGATGTAAAAATGGCTTTCGTGAAATGGTTATCATTGAAATCGCTCTTTTATTATTATAATAAAAAAATATATCCGTAAAAATAACATAGCTACAGAAAGCCATTAGTTATTATATGTGTAATGGGAACAAATTTTCACTATAGTTAAAATATTCCAAAATATCTTACTGCGTAAGAGTTTTTTTTTTCCTTCTTTTTTCCTCCCTTCATTACAACTACAATGGAAACCAACAAAAAAAAAAAGCTTTGTGGTTATAACTGTTTATGCTCAAAGCTAGGCCTTATGCAGATCATACTTGCATTTACGAGAATTAAAGCATCTCCAACCCAACTCAAAAAACACATTTTGACGCATATCCAACGCCAATTCTTCATCCAACCCAACGATAAACTTAGCGTCATTTTAAAGGGGTGCTACAATATTGCGTCAGGAATGTCGCAACACTGTAGATATGGAGATTTTGGTTTTTCCCAAATTTGCCCTTATAGTTTGTTATAACAAATCAAATATTCCAACTATATCTCATTTCATAGTTTGTAAATAGAAGGAATATTCTTTTTTATGTAAAATTTGGTGTGATGGTTGGAGATGGAATAGTGATTTGGTGTAAAAACTACACCAACTTGGTGTAAACACTACACCATTTTGGGTTTTTGGGTTGGAGATACTCTTACAATGGGAAATATCAATGGTTTAGGTACTTATTCACTAGAATGGATAACTTTATTGATGCGAGTTTTCAAATCCACAATAATTACGACAATCCAAAGTTCCAAGTAACTTCTATAGGAATTGGGAAACACAAATTTTACCCATTCCTAAAAAATTTGAGGAGAAAAAATGAAGCGAGATAAGCTTATACATGTTGACTATGAATACCACGTTTTGTCTTTACATAAGATTCTCTTAACCTAGGTTAAATATAATTAGTTCAGATTAGTGTGATGATAGGGTACCTTAGCCTGGTATCAGACTAAATATCCAGATACAAACTTTAATGATCATGGATTTATATTACAGAAAAGACAATGCTCCGTAAATCCAGATTTTGACTCATAATGATGCATTTAATTTGTAAGGCATTCTAGAGAATAAATCATAACCCTCAATTTTCACCCTCACTTAAAAGTTTTGATGCAGCGATAGATCCTTTAATAAAATATATCATTTTGAAAATACAAGTCATTACTTATATTTTTTAAAAAAGTTTCTTCAAAGCAAATCTAGTAAATACGCTTTGTTTAAATAAAGAATATATCTTTCAACTCAAAAGGATCAGTACAAAATCACGAATAGTTATGAGAAGAAATGAATTATATTATTTGGGAAAATAGCAATAAAATATACAACTAAAGAATCTATTAATTCCATGCTAAGTCATGGAGTTATTGATCAAAGCTAACAACCACCCACTTCTAAATCTACGACAATATTGACGAAATTTTCCTCACCGCGTCAAGATTGGATCTTAAGACAGCGACAGATCTCGAATATTGCAAATCACGCCATTAATTATGAGACAAAATCTTTCTAATTCAACGATGGGTTATTTGCATATATACCCCTTACATCATGTATATTTACAAAAATACCCTCTAAAGCTTAATATTTGTAAAACTACTTCCAAATCATTAATGTTGGGCAAACGCACCCTCAATGCAATTAACTATCAACTTTGATAAGCTAATTTATAATGACAATGAAGAAAATTATCAACAAGTTAGTCAAATATTTAGCACCAAGTTGATGCTGTGTATTTTTTTCACAAAGTTGGTGATTCGATAAGTAGTTTTTCAAATAATAAGATGAAGGGGGTATTAACTTAAATATTTATGATTTAAGGGGTATATATGCAAATATCCCTATAATTATCATCACCTTGTCATATTATACCATAAATTGTTTGAAACATGCTAGTAGATTAGAGTGCTCGTATCCCTTGTTACGAGTATACATAAAGGCCATGTTTGCCAAGCGACAGATTGTTGAAAAAGAATTTAATTAGAGGAGATGCCAATGCGTGATTAAATATAAATTATGATTATAATTAAATCAATAAGCCACTTGTGAGGGTAGGCCCACATCCTTTTTTGCGTAGGATTGAGATCCTCTACTAAGACATAGTATCTCCTAATATCTCCTAATGCATCTTCACCTTTCATTATGTACATAAGCACAAAATACGAGGATGTACTATGTAATAAAAAGTAAAGATGCATTAGAAGATATTAAGAGGCACTATGTCTTAGTAGAGAATCTCAATCATTTTGGGTAAAGAGACCATCGTAGATGAAGGTACATTTATTTTTATTTTTTTTGACAGAAAAACAAGGGATATACCCTGTTCAATTAAAATAAAAGTGTTTTGTAAAAAAATTGAATACGAAATGTATCC